CTTGGGGGGGGCACGTCCCTGTGGGAAGGACCCCTGCACCATCGACGCCGACTGCCTCTGCCGCTCCCTCGCCAATGGGCTGCCGGAGGACTTCCCTGCCTTTGCCAGGAGCCCCCCGAAGCCAGAGCCCCGACCCCAGGTAGGTGCTGGGGTGCCCCCATGCCGGGCATGGGCTCTGCCCCAGGGTCCACCGCCCACTCACTGCTTTCCCCTCTGCAGGGCAGCGCATGGCCGTACCCCCGGCAGAGCTCGGCCCATGCCCAGCGTATCGCCAGGGCCAAGTGGGAATTCTTCTACGGCTCCTTGGATACCCCAAAGACAGGTAAGAAGTCGGGGAGGGGATGCCCTTGGCCAGACCGACCTCTCCTTTGCAAGTCTGAATCACTGCTGGGACTCCCCCTGGGGCTGCCCATCCCTTGGGACTTGTCAGTGCCCACCGGACAGCCGAGATCCCGCCAAGATCAGCCAGTCTATGTCCTCCTGGGGCCAGGTCCTGCATGCACCAACCTCCCCGCAGAGTCCCCTGCGGCCGTGCAAAGCGCCGTGCAAAGGGGGTGATGCAGAGCCCTGACCCCTGGCAGACCCCAGCTGCCTCTGCAGAAGGGCTTCAGGGTTCGGATGGGGGCTCAGGGCTGGCTGCAGGTGCACCAGCACCCTGTCTCTGCCTCTCCCACCCTTTTTCCTTCTGGCTCCCCTCCTCCATTCCCCGTCACATGTGTGACCCCGCTCTCGCTGTGCATGTGATGCCGCAGGAGTGGATCCCCAGCACTCCCCGGCGCAGCTCCCCACAGCTCTGAGTGCTCGGGGCTCCCTTGCAGGCTCCTCTGCCCCTTATTCTGCTCCCCTGGCCGCGCCCCCCCAGAAGCCCGTCCACCCACTGCCCGCTGAGCCACCAGGGTCGGTGCCCGAGCACAGCCTGAGCCACGTGGAGGTGGAGATAGAGACGTCTCCTCTGTTTTTTTTTTGCGAGACTGGGATTATAAGGAGGACGGTGAAGTACTCCGAGACAGACCTGGACACCGTGCCACTGAGGTGCTATCGCGAAACCAACATCGACGATATCCTGGCTGAGAAGGAGGAGGTGGATTCGGCAATTGAGAGCCAGAAGGACAGCGAGAGCAACCCAAGCTTTGGGGGCACCCCGGGCAGGAGGAACAGCACACCGGAGGAGCCCCCCGCCCTGGGCACCGGCTGTCTGAAGGATGGGGTGCGGGACGGGGACTTGGATGAGGACGATGAGGTGTTTGAGGCAACGAGGAAGGAGAACAGGGAAAGGTGAGGCTCTGTGTGTGAG